GCGTCAGGCTCTGTGCTGACTGCCAGCTCAGAGCCTGGAGCCTGTTTCAGTCTGTGACTCCCTCTCTCTCTGACCCTCCCCTGCTCACGCTGTCTCTCTCTCTCCTAAAAATAAACAAAAAATATTAAACAAACAAACAAAAAAAGAACACAACTGGCTTAATATACATGTAACCAGAATCCCCACAGGCGGGGGGCATAAAGGCATAATAGACAAAAATTTTTGCAAATTTAATGGAATCTATAGATCCACAAATCCAGAATCTGAACAAACCCCCAACACATGAACCATGAAGAAAACCACGCCAAGGTATATTAGATTTAAAGGGCTTAACCCACTAGTAAAAGGAAAATGTGACAAGAAACCAGAGAAAAAAGATACATAATATGCAAGTAAGTAAATAAAAATAAGAATGAGAACAAGTTCTTGTTAGAAAAATATAATTAAAACAGTAGAGCAACATCTTTAAAGTACTGGTGGTGGGGGATGAAACTGTCAACCTAAAATTCTATACCCAGCAAAAAATATCTCTCAAAAAAACAAGGAAAAAGAATGATTTTTCCAGATATCCTAAAACTAAATATAAGATCATCACAATCAGACACTTATTACAAAAACCATTAACACATGTTCTTCAGGAAAAGGAAAATTATACCAGATAAAAATGTGGATCTATACTAAGGAATGAAGAGCATCAGAAATGGTATGTGTATGGAAGTGAAAGTCTTTTATTATTATTTTCAAATTTCTCTTATAAAACAAAAATCTGTCTAAAGAGAGAGGGAGAGGGAAGGCACATGCATGAGCACAAGTGAGGGAGGGGCAGAGGGAGAGGAGAGAGAGAATCCCAAGCAGGCCCCACACTGTCAGTGCAGAGCCCAATGAGGGGCTCAAACTGAATAACCATGACGAGATCATGACCTGAGCCTGACTCAAGAGTTGGAGGTTTAACCAACTGAGCCACTCAGGTGCCCCTACTGGTAAGTTTCTTAAATTATATGTAAAGTGGTATGATATTAACTGAAGATACACTATAATAAGCTAAAGATTTTCCAAACAGTAGAGTAAACGTAAAAGAAAAAAGAAAAAGAAAAAGTTATAGCTAAGAAACCAATAACAGAGACAAAGTGGAATAAATAAGAATACTCAGTCTATAAAAAAAGGAGAAAAAAATAAAAAGCAAATAAAGAATAGACAGAACAAATAAAAAGAAAATAGTAAGGAAAAGGATTTTAAACCATACTGGATCAGTATTTACACCAAATATGAAGGGTCTAAACACCTCAATTAAAAGTCATAGGTCATTGGGACACCTGAGTGCCTCAGATGGTTAACCCCTATTTAGACTCAGGTCAAGATCTTATGGCTTGTAGCCTGGGTGGCCCTATCAGTTAAGCATCTGTCTTTGGCTCAGGTCATGATCTCATGGTTTTGTGAGTTCAAGTCCCACATTGGGCTCTGCACTGATGGTGTAGAGGCTGCCTGGAATTCTCTCTTTGCTCCTCTCCTACTTGTGCACTCTCTCTCTCTCTCAAAATAAGTAAATAAATAAAATAGAAAAAAATCAGTGAAACCAGAATCTTGTTGAGAAAAGCAACAAAACTGATAAACTTTCCGTCATACTGATCAAGAAGGAAGACAGAAGACACAATCAGTATCAGAAATTAAAGAGATGACATCACTACAGATTCTATAGAATAAAAGGATAACAAGGCAATACAGTTGAACTTTGAACAGCCTGTGTTGAAACTGTGCAGGTTCACTTATATGAGGATTTTTTTTTCAATAAAGACAGTATAGCACTGTATTTTTTCTTATTTTCTTAGTAACATTTTTTCACTAGTTTGATTTATTGTAAGAATACAGCATTTAATACATACATACAAAATAATGTGGTAATTGAATGTCTTTTTGTTTTTTTTTTTTCTTTTAGAGAGAGAGCACAAAAGTGGGAGAGAGGGGCAGAGGGAGAGGGAAAGAGAGAGAAAGAGAGAGAGAGGAAGAGAATCTCAAGTAGGCTCCATGCTTAGCACGGAGCCTGACATGGTGTCTCATTATCACCACCATCAGATCATTACTTGAGCCAAAATCAAGAGCCGGCTGCTCAACCAACTGAGCCACCCAGGCACCCCTGCTAACTGAATGTTTATGTTATCAGTAAGGCTTCCAATCAACAACAGTAGTTAAGTTTGAGGGGAGTCAGAAGTTACACATGGATATTCAACTGCCAAAGAGTATTGCAAATATAAAGGCAATAAAGCAAATAAGGCAAAATGATGACAGAAGGGACTTGTTCCTTCCTCTTACCTTGCTGTTCCTGTCTGCATCACTCTGGCAATAACCCCTTATCTTGTGTTACAGATTAAATTGTGTCCTGCCCCCCCCCAATGATATTACAATCCTAACCCCCAGTACCTATAAATGTGAATTTGTTTGAAAATAAGTCTTTGCAGGTGATCAAGAGGAAGTGGACCTTAATCCAAGGACTGGTGCCTTTATTCAAAAAGAAGAAATATGGACACATAGACAGATATGGACATAGGCATATGATATGAAGACCATCTACAAACTAAGGAAAAGAACCCCTGAGCCTACCAGAACTAGGAGAAAGGCACGGAATAGATTCTCCCTCATATCCCTCAGAAGGAACCAAGCCTGCTGGGACTTTGATTTCAGACCTACAGTCTCCAGAGCTGTGACAGAATACCTCTCTATTGTTTTAAACTACTTAGTTTGTGGAACTTCGTTATGGTGGTCTTAGAAACAAATATACCCTATAAGTGGCAGATGGTTAAAGTCTCTAGCTTTCAGCACTGCCATAATCTTTCATTCCACCACCTTGGGGAGTACCTGCACGTGCTGGGCTGCAGCCCTATCTCCACAGGGCCATCAGGACTCTTGGTCAGCTTCTGGGTTCTGTTAATCTCCATTCTACCTGCTTCTCAGTCCCTAAGGATGGGAGCAGCTCCTTGCAGTTACTGTTTTACTTTGGTGTTCCCTTTTTGCTTTTTCAGTTTCCTGACACCCATTTAACTGCCTCACATTTAAATCACGCTGTGGATATAGGAAATAGCTAACACAGTTTCTTTACTTCTGGTAAGGACCCTGAGTTCATCATTCATTCAGACTGAAAGCCAAAATCGGAAATATAGCTTATAAAATCCTGTGCAATCTGTGCCCTGCCCCTGGCTACTTCTCTGCCTGCTTTTCACATCATCTCCTCAGTCACAGCCACACTGGTCTCTTTGCTAATGCTTAGATGTACTACGCATGCTTGCTTCATGGACTTTGACTTACTTCCCCGATGCTCGTAGACATCTGCATACATGTGGCTCACTACTTCCAGTCTCTGCCCGTACCTCTGGAGACATCTTTCTTAACAATGTATACAAAATTAATATGTCTCTCAACTCCTGCCTTCTCTTTTCCCATAACCTCTTTCCTCTATAGCAAACATCACCTTCTGGTGTATGTCATATCCGTGTTATCTACTGCCTTCCCTAGTAGACTGCAAGCTCCATGAGAGAATCATTGTCCACTGCTGTGCCCCCAGTGCCCAGAGCAGGGTCTGGCACACAGAAAGTGCCAACTTTTGAAAGGAAGACAGAGTAACTGTAGAAAAACCCTTGCCAGCAGACCTACCTTGTGTCAGTGTGCTTGAACTGTAATGAATGTTTAATTTTAAAAAGATGTGTGATTATTCTTTAGCTCTGTTGGCTGCCCTTCCTCTAACCTGCACTTTATAACAGCATCTCTTGAAATTCTTTAATGATAGTGCACTTTAAGTTGTGTGTTCCCTTCTGTTTAACAATTTAGATTTTTCATATTGCAAATATTTTCTCTAATTTCTGACCTTTAAAAGTATTAAGTTGAGGAGCACCAGGGTGGCTCTGTTGGTTAAGTGTCTGAGTCTTGATCTCAGCTCAGGTCACGCTCTCACTGTTTGTGAGATCGAGCCCTGCATTGGGATCCATGCTAACAGCACAGAGCCTGCTTGGGATTCTTTCTCTTCCTCTCTTGGCCCCTTCCACTGCACCCTCTCTCTGTTTCTCAAAATATTTTTTAAAAAAGTATTAAATCCAATAAGACTTCTCAGCCAGCAGAATTTATGAAGAGACTGGCCACTGTATGATGAGACAGGTGTATGACACTGTATGAGCAGGATGATGAGGAGTATGAATGCTATGACACTGTACAATGGGACTCATCACTGGGGTGGCCCAGCAAGAAGGAAATGCAATTCCTACATTCATAGAGCTCAAAATCTCATGGATATTTAACTCCCATGAATGAAAAAAATTTCACCAGTTATCAACAATGCACAAATGAAAACAAAGACAACATAACGCGTGCTGGTTAGATAAGGTGTAATGGCTGAAGGGCCATTCAAACTACAATAATCCCTAGATGTTGAGTAAAAATCCAAGATTTAAAGAAAGTCAGAAAGATAAATGAGGATTAGGTACTTGCAAAAGGAAATGACAAGTAACTTCATTAGTTTCCTAGAGTTTGTAAACCACGCTATGAATTTAACCTCTCTCCTTTCTTAGCTACCTTTTCATTCTGTGCCTCCCCTTAAATATCTCCTATTCTATTCTGAATTCAAATCTTTCTAAACTTTAAATGTTTTTAAACTTTAAATAGTAGTTTCTAAAGTTTAAATAAACTGTTTCCAACTCACCTCACAGGTCTCAACTGAAATGTCATTTTCACAGAGAGACTTTTCAGTGACTCCATGTGAAATAAGTGTGCCTTGTTATTCGTCATCATAGCATGTCCCTCACACCCCTTACCACAATTTATAATCATAAGTTAATTTGTGACCTTATCATTTATCCTCTTTGCTAGATAATAAACTACTTAGAAGCAGGGTGTATATTTGTCATTACTATACATATATTGCTCAGCCCAGTGCCTGGTACTTAATATATATTTGTTGAAATGTAGTAGTACATATTTCTGCGAAGGCCAGAAATCCATATATAAAACTGACCCCAATATCCAAAATAATTTTATTTTCAACATTTACTAAATTTAAGCTGTGCTAATCTGGAACACGGAAACATGTATCCACAAACTATATATACATACCTATATAAATGGCCACAAAGAAAATTCAGATCCACAGTAGTATATACATACATATATAAATACATACAAACATAATTTATATCCAGAGCAATACTTTGAGCTTTATCCATGAAATTAACTTCAATTTGAGTCAAAGATTTCATCTTTTACAATAAACCTAATCTGTTCATGGGAATCTTCAATCCATCCCTCATACAGGGTATGATCTGCATGCAGGTGCCAATCTTAGAGGGGGCTGCTCAGGAAAGGCGTGATGGGGCCACCGTTGCACAGCTTTGACCCTTGCTCACAAAGACTGATTTGATTAGTCTGGCTGAGGTTGGTCAGATAGGGGGTCCCTTCTTCTTCAAACCACTGCTGTTGATTTAGTTGAAGAGGGAGAGCGCCTTGATAGAGGACCATTTTCAGGTGCAGGTGTGCACACAGCTGTGACACATCCAAGTGGATTTTTAAGGCTTAATCTTAAGACAAAAACCCAATGGCGATTCTTGACTCCTAAAAATTATGCTGTCAAGTTGGCTATAGGTGAACGATGCAATTTCCCTCTGGCAAAAAAAAAAAAAAAAAAAGAATCAGAAGTGAGTTTACTTGTATAACACTGCTTAGTGACTATAACAGTGGCACTGAGAATACATAAGCTGAGTTATATCATCAGTGACCCGATTTATTGACTGTCATGACTAACAATATATGGGATCAATTCTAGCTCCCATGTTACAAGAAAGAACATGTTTGTCTTATTTCAGTAATCTTTTATAAACTCTATTCCTTAAAGCATAGGGTCACAGATTATAATAGCCACATAATTTTTTTTAAACCGAAATTAATTTACCTTTTAGGTGTCCTTAGTCTTGAAGTACAAACCATAAGGAAGGCCTGTTCCAAACTACTAAGATGAATTCATCACTTGGAGTGGGAGCTCAAACCACTGAAATATAATTTAAAAGGATTTTTTGTTTTTTTGTTTTTGGAAACAGAACATAAAACTGGTTATTTGGGAATAAAGGACTGGATAGTGCAAACCAACCTAGATTGGGCCCCTAAATCCTGTTTTTTAAGCTGCCTAATTAGATGAGATTGTGCAAATGATTTAATCTTGATGGAATGTCCGTCTTCTCCTGTTTATTAAATGAGAGTTTAAAGTGTTAAGCCCTTATAGTTCTATGATTTATTTTATATTAAAAGTCCTTGGTGTAGGAAGAATGTCAGATAAAGCAGTCTGTGGGATCAGAAGTAGCATTTGGAATCACACATAGGAAGAACTCATGTACGTACAACAGGCCCTGGGAGAAACGTTAAGGCTGACGTCCCAAACCTACACTGAGCTCAGTACTGGACCCAAATACTGCAGCAGATTTTTTTTCAGGTATCTGAAGCGGTCACCTCTTCGGGGAGGAAAAACCTAGCTTCACCAGTAAATCCAGGTCCAGAAACGGAAAGGGGCAGAAGTCATATCTAACCACTGAGGCCACTTTAACAGTAATTAGTTTAATCCGCTGTCCACTTGCACCATCATCGACTTTCACGTTAGCTTGGCTGAGTTTATGTACTAGAAAGTGAAGCAAATCCAAATATGGGGAACATTCTTCCATTGCCAAAATTGGAAAACTGCCTTATCTCTTTTTCAAAATCCCACCTACCAGAAAATCTGCTTCCCTCTTACTCCAATGGGCAGAAAGCACATTTTGTGTGCAAACCTGCATCGGCTCATCCTCACGCCAAATTGCGGGGATCGCGTAAACGTCAAGTCACCACTCTTGATAAGGTACAGATCTTTTTAGAAACACTTTTACACAGCCTGTGACTAGCTGGGGGAAAGGTGAATATCTAGGTACACAGGATACGTAGGGCATCCCGCTTCTGGACGCCCGCAAACCTACTGATTAATTCTTCCTCCAGAACTAATGCTTCCGTAGCCTCTGTAGTAACACCACCGGGGAAATCTACCCACAATTTGCCCCCCATTTAAAATGAACGCTGACTCAGCGGCCAGCTTTCTCGGTCGTCCACCTGACGAGGGGTGCGCTCCATCGTTCTCTGGGGAGGCGCGGGCGGGGCCCAGCTGGGTTCCAGGTCACAGGTGGTCCCCTCGGAAGGGGCGCCCAGGCAGGCCCTGCGCGCAGGACTGGGGGTCCCGGCACCCCACCGCATGCATGCATACGCGCTGTGCCACCTCAGCAGCGCGCAGCACCTCAGGCGGGGTAGACACTTCTCGAGCAGTCTTCAAACTATCTTCACCTACTCAGCGGCTCGCAGGATCGGGGTTGTACCCCCGCCTCGAAACCAGACCCCGTGGAAGATCTTTACCGACTTGAGCTTCCCGTTGGAAATCACCGGGGAACAGGGAGAGTCCGTGCGGCCCGAGAGGGAAAGGGACGCAAAGCCGTCTCCCGCCAACTCCTGCCCACTTGGTTCGTCCGGCCCCCACTCGCCAGCCCAGGTGCGCAGGAGAAGAGGCTCTAGAAGGGGCCCCTCCCTCCTCACCTCCCGCGGCCCACATTTACTCACTTGTTCTCGAAGCCCCGGCCCAGCCGCCTTTAGCAAGGGGGAGTGCGAAGGGGCTCTGGGGAAGAGACAGGAGCCACGGGCCACCTCCGCGCCGCGCCCTCTCCCCGGGCCCGCGCGCCCGAGCACCAGGGCCAGCGACGCCCCCAGCCGGGGGCGCCGGGCGAGGCGCGCTCCGAGGTCTCCGCCGCGCCCTCCCCCTCCGGGCGCCGCCGCGGCCTGCGGCCCCTCCCCGCCGCCGCCGCCGCCGCCGCGAGGCCCTCGCGCCCGGGGGACGCGCTCGCGCCCGGGCCGCCCCCTCCCCTCCGCCCCCACCTCGGCCCGGGCGGGGGCGCGCGAGGAGCGGTGACGTCAAGGGGCGCGCGGTGGCAGCGCCTCCCCGCGCGCTAGTTAAAAAGAAGAAGAAAAGAGGGAGCGAAACATGAGAGGCTGCGTGAGAAGCTGCAGCCGCCGGCAGAGGAGACCTCAGCATCTTCTAGAGCCCAGCGCTGGCCCTGCCTGCGTCTGCCGCGCCGCCGCCGCCGTTTCAGTTCCTGCTACTGTCTCACCTAAACAACTCCAGTTACACGGACAAGTGAACCTCTGTGGCCGTCTTCTCCTCTTCTTCCTCCTCCTCTTCCAACTCTTTCTCCTCCTCCCACTTCCCAGCCGCAGCAGGAAGCCCCTAACCCCACTGACCCTGGCACAACTGCAAACGGTGTCATCTGCACAACTTTATCTCGGTCCTCGGACTCCCCTAAGGCACTGGACCCGTCGCCTTGTCTTTTATTTTTTGCAAAGTTGCATCGCTCTACATATTTCCGCCCCCGGCGCTACTCTCTGCCTCTCGAGTGTCCCCCGCAGCCTCCTCCTGGAGCTGCGCCCTAGTGCCCCTGGTGGGCAGTGGCGTTCCCCCCCAGCCTCCCGCGCCGAGCCCCTGCCGCTCGGGGCAGACGATGCTGAAGATGCTCTCCTTTAAGCTGCTGCTCCTGGCCGTGGCTCTGGGCTTCTTTGAAGGAGATGCTAAGTTTGGGGACAGAATCGAAGGGAGCGGAGCGCGGAGGAGAAGGTGCCTGAACGGGAACCCCCCGAAGCGCCTGAAAAGGAGAGATAGGCGGATGATGTCCCAGCTGGAGCTGCTGAGCGGGGGAGAGATGCCCTGCGGTGGCTTCTACCCTCGGCTGTCCTGCTGCCTGCGGAGTGACAGCCCGGGGTGGGGGCGCCTGGATAACAAGGTAAGCACGCAGCCGCCTACGGACGCGAGACTGACATGCTGGCTAGGTGGGGGCTCCCAGGGGCTCCAGAAATGCTGGTGGCCGCGAGGAGGGCGAAAACCTGCTTGGAGAGTTCTTTGGGGTAACTTTTTCTGAAGTGCTCGTGTGATTCGGTTGTGTGTTCGTCTGGGGTGCGCAGATAGCTCTCCCGCCCCCAAGAGTTCGTGGTCGGGATGCTGTGCAGCACTGCCTGTCTCAGAAAAGAGCAGCTTCTGCGGTACCCGCATTCTGGGCTGGGTAAATGTTTTAAAAGAATCGCGATTAACAGTGTGTTTTGGACCGAATCGGGCACTGGCTGCGGTGAAAACTGTAAATTAAGGTGGCTGTGGTTTCCGGTTTATTTTTCTAGGGTAACAAGATGTGTGCAGTTTTCTCCACGTGCTCGGTGAGGAACAGGATTGAGTCGTAAAGGATGTTGAAGCATGGTTGGTTTACGAGCCTCAGCCCCGTCAGAGGGGGTTGTCTTACATTACAATAGTTTAAGCTGCGAAAAGGAACTCTTGGTGCTCCACTTGAGAACCCGAAAAACTGGCGAAAGATTTTGCTGGGGCGTGTTTGTCACATAAAACTGAGACAGTTCCCCGCCTCAGTTGGTAATGTTTTGAAACACTGTTAAGTTCAGGGTTTCTAACGGCAGTTCGTTGTCTAGGAAGATCTTCTCTAGAAATTTGTTTTAGGAGCAATGGCATTTACACTTGCCTTGTGTTCTTGAGTTTAAACAAATAGGAAATAGTGTTGATGGCGTGTGAAGGCAAGCTTATTTTTTGAGTTTGCAACATCTCTCTTGTCATGGGATGCAGCAGCGTGTGCTGTCTACTGTACTGCCAACGGAAAGAGGGGATCCCGTCATTAACAATCACTGCACGTGAAATAAACAATCAGGTGTCTTTGCTCCCCCCTCCTCCCGCTCCCCATTTTAAGTTTAATTAAGAATTCCTCTGTTACAACACTGCAGTTGTCAAGGTCTGAGAGACTCTTGGAAAACTTGTGCTTCATTCTTGCTGGCCCAGGCATTAAAAAAAAAAAAAATACCCAGGCTGAATCTAATTTTTATGCTCAGTTCACGGTAGATTTCACTCTATTCTCATGTAAACAGCTCCTACGAATCAACATATGTGTCTGGGTGGTATCTCTCACTTTGTTTTGTAACAAAAAGCCATATTGCATCATTTAATTTGCTCAAGTCATGCAAATAGGAAAAAATCAATAGGACAAAAAGGGGTCGACTTATCCTCCTCCCCACTAAACTGCTGCCCACACACAGAGTCCTGTTGCTTATGGCAAAAGAATAACAACAACACCATTGTGTTTGTTAGTTGGTTCACTAATGGGTGAAACTAGAGAACATCATTCTCTTTCAGTCCCCAGCTCTGTCCAAATGTTCATGCCTTTTGAGGGAGCATTTGTCCAACTCCCTCTATTCCCAGATGAGTGAGAACTGTCTTGCTGCAGGTTTTCAGCTGCAACTCTCTCTTTATTCTTACCATATGCAGCAGTAGTCTGCGATTCAGGGAACAGATATTCCAGCATTTTATTCAAAACAATGTCATTGAGCTCCTGTGTGGTAATTGAATTAAATTACAAAAAAAGCTACATTCACATCATCTGCAGGGTGTTACCAAGAGCCCAAAAGAACCAGGAGATTCAGAGAAAGGTTTAGAAATATTTGCCATTAAGTCTCCCTGTGTGCAATGTACACCATGAATGCACCAGTGATCTCCAGACCCCTGCAATACGGAACTCTACCAGGGACAGCAGGAATGAAAACTTTAAGTAGAGTGGGGAGATGGCGGGGGGGGGGGGGGGGGGGGGGGGGGGGGGGCTGGGGTGGAGACTGAAGGGAGTTATAACCCTTAAGAGGAGTTATATAAATTTTTTTTAAGAAATCACTCTTTAAGAAGAAATCTGCCACGTTAGCTATCCGCATTCCTTTCCGTTTTACGTGCTTCCAATCTCCAACAAACCCCTACTCATTTGGAAAATGTGTCTGAATTAAATTCGGTACACTAGACTTTGCTAGTTCCATTACAAGTGCTTTATAAACCAACAATACTCAAATTGTTCAAAACAGAGAAGTGATATAGCTATGCATGTGCATTCTTGACCTATGTTAGCTCTCAAGTTTTAATAGTTTTTAAAACATGTTATTTTATAATAAACTTCAGTGTTTCCTTGTTTTCCACTAAGCCTTCCTGGCTTATAATATATTTTAGGGTCTTATTTCATGTGTGTACAGGAGAGATGATGGCTGTTTGAAAGGGCCTGCGTTTGTTTATGAAAATAAAAAATCTCCAGAAAGATTTCTGCAACTTTTCAAGAAACTATAGGCACATCTTTCTTCTATGGGAAGAAACTTTATAGACAGATAGTAGCAAAATAGGTAGGAATATTGGAGCATGCCCAGCTGTGCAATTAAATCCAGACTCCAAACTGACACGTTTTCTTTAATGTAATGAACTAGCATTGAGTTCAATTCTTTGGCCATGGTATTATGCTTTTATATTTTAATTTACTGTACATTTTAATTTTTTTGTGTATCGTAACGAGATTGTTGACTGCCATTATAAATAAATACTGCCAAAATTTAGGAAGTTATATTGTCTTGGCAGTATTTTTGCAGTTCCTAAATACAGCATGCTAAAAGGACCTCATTCCCACTAGCCAAACTGAATCCGCAGCCAACTGAAATACCCCCATTTCTAAAACTTAACTTGTAGCCACAGAGAGGCATAGAAGCTCTCTCTACCTTGGGTGGTTTCACAGCCAAAGCTGTCAAGGAATGGGTGAAAAGTAATTGTTTTCAAGTGTGCCCTTTTACAATCATTTGTTTGCTCTGGCTCTTTCAGGGACAAAGGCTATTGTTGAACACATCCAACTAAACAAATAACTCATCCTGGGGTCCCTTTAACAGCTGCCTTAGTACAATGATCTATTTACATATTAGCCTAAAATTGAAACTGAACTCTTTAATGACATAATCCAGCACTATAGTGCAGAGACGCATGTATTCTGCCCAGCAGCTGAACAACCTTGTAGGCATATGATTTTTAGAAATAACTTTTTGTGTACAGAGTGATCTTAAGGCGACATCTTAATATACTGTCATGTGTTTTCTCCTGTTGTCTGCTCATCGAAACCATGTGGGTGCCTTTTTATCCTCTTTGTTCAGTTACTTGATAAATAAAGAGAAATACAGAAGGTCTCTGTCACCCATTTTACTATTTGTTGATAAGCTATAGTGGTAGGCCACGCTTCATTGTGCATTCCAGTATTTATCTTACCTTTCTTCTATGAATTTTACTTTCTTGTGGCCAGAGATTAAAGGATGACCTGCAGATGTTATAAATTAGTCAGCAACAGCCACAGTCATTACTAGGCATGCTGTAATAATGTTTCGAAGTTTTACATGACTTTCAAAGTATATTTAGTTTAAACCACTATAATTTGATGGTTTCATATATAGCTTTTAAAAATCGAAACAGGAAATTAGCTTAAATTTCTTCTTAAGATTGATGACATTGTCAGGCATAAAGTTAAGGACCTAGATCAACACAAGCACATTGGCAAAAAAGAAGAGAAAATACCCTACACACACCAGTACTCATCTGTCTAAAACAGAGTTGCAGCTTGGGCTGAGTCACTTTAATTGACTTCAGTAAGACTATTGGTTCATTGAAACCAAAGCCAGAATGATGGCTCTATCTATCTTCAAATAGGTATTTACACTGCAGACCTCACACAGAGCAAAATGTTACCATCCTGCTGGGCCGGAACAGCATGAAACTTTACAAAGAATAATATTATACTCGATTTCAGATAATTTATTGAATCCTATTTCTGAAACTTTTGATGAGAGATCTTGTGGCCAGGACACATTCCAAAAATTGTAAAAGACAAAATTCTTTAGGCACTAAAATCAAGCTCTTCCTGGATAGCAGCTGGGAGAGTATACGGAGATCATTTTGTTTCAGCTATAAAAAATGGAAGTATGCATATTCTCCATAAAACCAAAGGTAATTACATTCCAGCTTCCCAGCCAGCAAAAAAGGTGGCTTCAGCATCCTGCAGTTGTTTTGTTCTTAGGGGACTGCTGTACGATAAACAGACAGAACAAAGTTGAACAGTATTAATATTGAATAGATCTGGTGAGGTCTGCCAGAGTATGGACAATAAAAGACATTTAAAACATTCTTGGAATGCAAATTCTAAGTGTCTGGCGTATGTTTCCTTTTAGAAAACTTTAACCATTTAAGCAATTGTCATTTAAATAAATTGATAAAAATCAGCATGTAAATATAATTGTGATTAATAATAACTTTTCTGAATGTTACAGTGACAATACAAAGCATATATATGTACATATATATGTATGTACATATATAATAGGGTGAATTCTGTGGAGCTTTTAATTACTGCAAGCTGAAATTTCAGCATGCTTGTATTCAATGATTTTTTTTTAGCTGCTTTGTTCTTTCAGGTCCAAATTTTATGATCACCTAGAATATCTTTATCCTAAAAAAAATAGAAGCCATGCCATTTACTCAAATTAGAACCTCAACTTGTGAATCAAGTATTTGCTTTGAATAGTGATCTAGAGTTTCAAATGTTAATTTCAGTTCCTAGTTCTAAAGAAATAATTAAGTATAAATATAGTTACATAAACAGAGAAAAGGTATAAAATTCATTCCCATTATGATGTATTTTATTATGAATAATAAATGCTTGCTTAGACAGCACTACATTTCATGTCTCAAATATTCTGCTGGTATTGTCTTCTACACTTATTAGAGGAGCTCCTGAATTTAGTTTTTTAGAGTTAGTACTAGACACCAAGACCTATTTTATCTACAAATTACTAACTTCAGTGAATCAGTAACTTCCAAATTGGTCTTACTGAAAAAAAGACATAATACTGTATAAACAAAGATAAAAGTCTTCCTTTTCTTTATTAAAACTTACTAAATCCTATACAAAAGCACTTTTATTAAACTCCTGTGTTTATTCACGCATATAACATACCTGAGGAACTAGTTAGAAAGTTTTTCCTGGCTAAGATAAAATGAATAATAAAAATTGGTTTTAAACCAGTTTTATTCAACTTCAGATATTATTTTTCTACAACACGAAAAGGTAACATTCCCCGCACTTTAGGAAACTTTCCCTATGCAATCTGTAGACTGAAAATGAACTGAAATTAGAAAAATGTAATTCAAGTAATATCTTTGAGAACATCATATTAGGAATGTTAAGAGTGAAAAACATTTCTACCTAAGACAGAAATGATCATCTCTTAAAAAATTTTGCGTTATATACAATTGGATAAAGGTATTTAGAATTTTAAAGTCAAATATTAGTCACTGTGCACTTTGACGCAGAGTAAAAGGATAAAGGGTTAAATGGTCTCAATATAATTGGCATTTAATGGTTCATACCCAAAAGATAAACTGGCTTTGATTTGCAAGAGTAAGAAGCACTTTTTTGCATCCTTACCCTCTGCTCCCCCATCCCAGCCTGAGACTGTACTTCTATCCTTATTAAAAGCATCCTGTGTTTCTGACATGGTAATTCTTTTCAGACAACTGCATTGGCTAAATTATACTATTCTACTTATATGATTACAAAAGAAAAACCCATAACTAAACCTAACTTCACATGAATAAAAAGAAGTTTGTTTCTGATTTATGGCTTTCAGATATTTTCTGTTACCAACAACACAGAATGTGGGAAGTTACTGGAGGAAATCAAATGTGCGCTTTGCTCTCCACATTCTCAGAGCCTGTTCAACTCACCTGAAAGAGAAGCCTTGGAAAGAGAACTTGTACTTCCCCTGCTCTGCAAAGACTATTGCAAAGAATTCTTTTATACTTGCCGAGGCCATATCCCAGGTAAAAAAAAAAAAAAAATGGATAAATTAAATAAACTACTGCAGAATATCCTTACAAGATACCTGATCTTAAATGCTTGCTTCTGGGAGTGTGAAATTTATCTCACCTTCCAAAATAACTATTTTTGCCTCACAATTAACCTTTACAAATTTGTAACCTTTCACTGCTGCCAAAAGGATTACTATGATTTCAGTCTACAAACAGTATGTTGGTTTTGATGGGATGTTTTACATTTCTTGTTAAAGCGATAATACAGTTGGTAATCTGCACACAATGGATTATCAGTACAAATTTCTTGATGTCTTCTTCACCCATTAGCATCAATATCAAGGCAGCCTCCTCTTCTGCATAGCTGATACATAAGTACAGATGGTCCACAGACTTTTAAGGTAGTATTCCCTTAATTAAAGTATCATTAGACATCCAAAAAAGTAACACCTTACAAGGCACCTTTACATGTAATGACTAATTTGCTCCTCAAAAACTCTATGCTGCAGGTACGAAAAGTGGAGTCATCCCAATTTGACAGACGAGGATAACTGAGCTTCAGGAGAAGTTAATGCCTTAACCAAAGTTGTGCCGTGAGGAAGTGATAGGATAGATAAAGCAGTGCTTAGGTTGACACTATCACGAATATACCTGCTCACTACCATATTTTGGACCCTAATAAACATATAGATTCTTGGACATGGATTAATTTTACCATCAAAAGTTTGTAAACTTTGGTTGTTATTGCTTTAGTTGGAAGAATCAACAGAGAGATACAAAAGAATTTAACGAGACAGATTCTGTTTAGTTAAGCAAAGTCACACACAAACAAATCTACTGAAGCTAACAGTTTATAAAACTAAATGGCATTGAAGGAAAAGACAAGCCTTGAGAACTGTAGGATGCCCTTGGAGAACTTTTTTAACTGCTATGCATATTTTGCATTTTTCTCTGACCCAGAGAAGTGTAGATATTTTTTTATAAAGCTCTCACAATAACCTAAGAAAACATTTTGACTAGGATTGCTTGCTTCCTTTGGTGTACCATAACATGTATCTAAACCCATTCATGTGAAAATATTATTATTGTCTTTATAAATCACAGCCATGTTTGTAAGGCTTTTCCTAAACCAGCTGTTTCTTCCTCTTTATCATGTTCCCCAAAAGCAAAGTAGAATAGGTCACGGTTGCCTAGAAGGCCTGCCGAGAAGCGACAACAGATTAGGTACCATGAAGGTTTGCTGCAAATTTCAAGTCTTGAAGGTTTGGCTTTACCAATGTAAGTTGAAAAGAATACCGACACTTAACATTTTCCTCTGCCTTTATCTGCCCGAGATAAATACAACTATGCTGGATTTAAGGGCTCACCCAGAAGGTCTCCATCTATGTGAAGTTATTTTAGCTTCCTAAACAAACAACAAAAAGCAATATCCAGCAGAAGAGAGAGTGTAGCGAATAGCGCAGGAGCCAGAACTGCAAGCACCTCGCTCCCCAGATCAACATATGTGGTGACGAATGACAAATTTATTTTTCTACAAAGTTTGTATATATGTAAAACTGCTGAAGTGCATCAAGATGTCAAGTGCTTTTGGTGGCCACCCAGGCTGCCTTGAAAGATAACCAGATGAAAGCTCTCCTCCCATGGTAGAGAGGGCAGCAAGGGTGCTTTCCAGGGACAGGCCAAAGGCGCTAGCAGCAAGAGGCGGGGGCTTCTCCTGCATCCGTCAAATGCTAGTAATCATCCTAAATACTTGTCCCCAAAGTGCGTTATAACAACACACTCTTTGTGTTAATTTATGTTAATCAGTTTGTTAGCCAGACTGATCCTTGACACACAGTTGACCATTTTCTGAAGTATGGCAGGTAAGATGGTAATCCTCGCCTCAGCCCTCGCTCCAGCACGGAAGGCTCTTTACTATTCCAGGATAATTATCTTTCAGAAATTGCTCTCAAGACAAATTTTTAATATTTTCACCTTCTCAGTTCTACTTCATGACATGGTTTATCTTTTCTCTGGAGTTCAAAATTGTGAAAAACAGCTACTTTGTGACTCTTCCTTGTAAGAAGTCAGTATATTTGTCTATTCTCATGAACAGCCTCATCTTTCTGCAAATCAAAAATGTAAAAATACAGCACTAAGGCAAATACTGACAGAGGTTGAGAGAGAGGAAAAATAATCTCCGAGACGCCTTCATTTCCCTCCCATTGCCCAGTACGTAAAGAAATAAATACATAAATTGATCTATCCCTCTGCTTCACCTTCATGACTTTGAGAGAGCACCACCTGTCACTTTGGAATACATGCACATCGGAAAGAAACTTTTTAAAAACTTTAATTCAGAAACATTCATGGTCTGCCTATTTTCCAAAAATGGGAAAAGCTAACATGGGGCGGATATACTAGTGTTTTATGAATCATAATATTCACCAGCTGTGAATTGACCTAGCGAAGTAAATTCTTAAAACTTCTAAAAATAACAAAAATGCATTTAAAAAACCCCGCACACAGGAGCTCTTTGGTCAGCGTCACAGGTCTTTTCTCCTGCTGCACTGTGATGAGCAAAGAAGATGCTTTGCTGTTTGCTCAGTGATGGCATAGTGCACTCTGTGGGAAGTGTAGAGAAGAACAGCCATTGCCTTGTTCATCCTTTATACTTGTTATCACGAGTATCATGATAGACTTTTTATCCCTCTTAGATGGCCATCTCTTCAGCTGTAGGTTATTTAGTGTGAACTGTCAGTATACAATTAGTTTGATTGGTTTAATCCTGCTGCTAATGAGGCCAAGGTCAAGGGTTTGATTCCACTGAGTCTCTCTAGTCCATAGTCAGTCCTGCCCCCAGTGAGATATCTTACACATGTGTCTTCCCTAGGAGAGCAAGCCAGACTGAATGGATAGATACATCAAAACCCACTACCTCTATTAGAAAGTGCAAGCCTTACACTCAATGGGTTTTGTTTCATTTCTTTATTTGATGAACAGCATATATAAGGAGGAAAATAACTTTTCACTGGCATACATGCTGAGAGAAAAGCTAGAGCTGAGAATACCCCACAGAGAATATTTGTTTACATCAGTCTGTTATGGGGTACTTGTGGTATAGTGGGACTGGATTCATCGTGCTCCAGGACAAAGGTTACAGGTCTCAGATATTTAATAAATTATCAGAAGTTTAAAAAAATAAAGTTGCTGGAATAATCCGTGTACTTCCATCATTAGTAGACTTGATCAAACTATGATGATCCAGACTGAACTAAACACCCATCTGCAGTAAAATGCTCTTCGGGGTATTGTTCCAAATAGAAGGGTACCATTTGGTAAATTATATCTTCCCTGGCAGTAAATGTAAGCCCAGTGTCCTGAAACCAGGTCCCTTTTAGCTCTTCACAGCAAAATATATCTTATTCATCACTGTCCACAAAATCAGATCATTGAAGGTAAAGTATTAATGAAAATGTTAGATGTTTGTAATTATAAGAAAATGCCCATATTTTTATGTAAAAGTCTTTTGAGTTGACTCCCTCTTTCATACTTATTCAGTATGCTGAGAGTCTATAAAAAGCTAGGAGTAATTCATTGTGAATTCCAGTTTTGTTTTTTGTTCTCTTTTTAATTTGGTAAGAGAACATAGTACCTCTGGAACCATAGAGTTTATGAATCTATACTTATTAATCTTTGTCTGTTCTATCTGAAAATGTTTCCTCCCTTCCACATGTTTGTCCCCAGCTAATAACTCCTTGTAAAATGGAATCAGTCATCAGCATTGTTTGTTAATTTCTCCTTGAGATGGTATTGGTTTGCAGACTGTAATGATGAAATACAGATAGTTTTTTTTAAAAAAAAGCAAATTTGAGGGGCTCCTGGGTGGCTCAGTTGGTTAAGTATCCGACTTTGGCTCAGTTCATGGTCTCACAGTTAGTGGGTTCGAGCCCCGGGTCGGGCTCTGTGCTGACTGCCAGCTCTGAGCCTGGAGCCTGTTTCAGGTTCTCTATCTCCCTCTCTCTCTGATCCTCCCCTGCTCATGCTGTCTCTCTCTCTCTCTCTCTCTCTCTCTCTCTCTCTCTGTCTCTCTCTCAGAAATAAATAAAACATTAAAAAAATTTTTTAGGGGCGCCTGGGTGGTTTAGTCGGTTAAATATCCGACTTTCGCTTAGGTCATGATCTCGCGGTTCGTGGGTTCGAGCCCCACGTCGGGCTCTGTGCTGACTGCCAGCTCAGAGCCTGGAGCCTATTTCAGAGTCTGTGTCTCCCTCTCTCTCTGACCCTCCCCTGCTCATGCTGTCTCTCTCTCTCTCTCCTAGAAATAAATAAAAATATTAAAAAAAAAATTTTTTTAAGCAAATTTGAAATTCCTTCTCCCTTGCACTTTGAAATTTTTTTTGGTGATCCTGCAGGCATACTTCATGTTGAAACAAAATTTCTCATTTTCATCTTCAATTATAAATATATACATAGTATGACTATTGGCATGGAAATGTTGCTGCCTGATGGGAGCTGTGTTTGTGTGTATGTATGTGTGTGTGTGTGTGTGTGTGTGTGTGTCCAAAAAAAGATCTAGCCCAAAACTGCAAAAGGTTTGATTTAACAACTCAGTTTTCCTTCTCTTCTTTTTACCTCAAACATGATTATTCAACATTACTGGGCAGTTTTCAAGTATATTCTTAGCCAGAAAAGGATGGAGGAGAAAAGTTATCTTTTGTAAACAGTGAATTGCTGAAGAAGAGGAAATGCTATGCAGTCTTCATTCCTCTCCCCAATTTCTAATCCCTGAGTTTTTCAAAGAAAGGTAACTTCCTTCCAGCTGCCTTGCCCCTCCCATGGAACACCCTTTCCAGCTGCCATGCCTCCATTCAGTCCCTCCCTCTTTCTCTCAAGGACATCTGCTCTCACTTGCCTGGTTTCCAAGAAGATGTTTCCTACTAGCCTAATCAAATATTGGCCTTGAGGAGTCTGTCTCAGAAATGGAAAGGTGATACATTTTATCTAAAAGTTAGGTCAAAATGTACATCAAGATCCTCAGAATTCTAAGATTAGTTTTTGATTTGAGAGGACCTAGGTCAAGGGCACAGAAAATAAAATTTTACCCTTTCATGTTTCATTGATAAGTCTCACTTGGTTGTCCCCAATTCTTGTTCTTAGAAATCCTTGCAAACCTGGATCCATTGTATAACTTCTAAACATCAGCTAAGTTACATGGTACCTTTATCACAAAGCTGATAGGTGTACAGTAATCTAATTTCTTAGATAAAAAATCAAAACATTATGCAAAAAGCTATGACACCAGAGAGCAGGAAGTAAGGACATCATATAAGGTCGATTCTGGTAGCCATATCATATCCTGAGAGCAAAAATCATTAGGATTTGGAAGTGAATCTTATTAATATGCCCTATCCCCCAAAAAGCCAGTGCTTGATCATTCAAATTGTGACAGTGATGTCAAAATTCTTTTTTGTCATAAAGTCCTTCTTTTTTAGTCAAGTATAGCTGGTTTTATTTGATAAAAATTCTCAATATGTAAGAAAAGAGAAAACATCTTTCCTTCAGATCTCCTTAAGTAAGTGAATTTTGCATTTCTGTTTCAGCTTGTTATCCTTTATTTTTTCAGTGAGGGGTGGTATACTACCTTTCTGGTTGAGAAGATCGAAGGGATGTTTTAAATATAGTTTTGTTTCGCAAAATGATCATTATTTTCTATAAGTGAGATGTAGGAAAGAGGCATCTACATATTTGAAAATGGAGGCTCTGTTCTTAGCACAATTGCTGCAAGCCAGTCACTTATTATAGCATATAAGGACCTTGTGATATTCATTAGATTTATTATTTAAGCATATGTGAGTGACAGTGCAAAAAGAATTGTAAAATGACCCAAATCAGCACCTAATAGCCTATCTCTTCCTTCATTCTAATTTGTTCTTCTTAATAAGTTATTTTTACTATACGGGGGAAAATGCTGAATAGTGATCAGATAAACTTACAACATTTGCACCGTAGAATCTTAGAAACAGAGTCAATAGCAATAACAAGATTACTGTTAGATTTGTATTATGTGTATTTCAAATGAGTCTTTTAATATTGCCAGTATAATATTATTTCATTTTAACTGAAATTCTTAAATTTTGTTTTAAGAAAATGAAAATCCCAAGCAAAAAAATCGTTTTCTTTCCTTTTATTATTTTCCTAGAATATTTGTATACTTTCTAAAAAATATTTTTCCTCTACTGTATCTTTCATATAGAATGTTTTTACTGTGACACTAAATATCTCTAATGAGTCTTTTTGCATTTCTTTAAAGGTTTCCTCCAAACTACTGCTGATGAGTTTTGCTTTTACTATGCAAGAAAAGATGGTGGGTTATGCTTTCCAGATTTTCCAAGAAAACAAATCAGAGGACCAGCATCTAACTACTTGGACCAGATGGAAGAATATGACAAAGTGGAAGAGATCAGCAGGTTCATAAAGATAAATGCTCTTTAATCTTAAAAAAAAAAAAAAAACACACACAAAAAAAACAGAAACCAAAGCAAAATACCAACTGACAAATCTGGTGGTTTTATTAGTGAATCAACTGTTTTTTGTGCTTGATTCCAGGAGCTCTATCCTCCAGATGCTTTTTCTTTCTTTTGTGTAGTTTGCTTCGCTCGTATCACACTCACTTAAATGCTTTTAATACTTAGACTTTTTATCTTTTATTATTGTGAGTTTGGCTTCTCTATGATTCCTGTGAATTTCATGATTATAGTTTCAAACTTGAACTTTATGCTTGTTGTTAGCTTATGGAACTATTCAGCACAATTATTATTAGCAAATCTGAGTTTTCTAAATAGATCTTAGAACCTTCCCTCTGAGGGTCTTTCTGTAAGGCTTAATTATTGTGAGTAAAGCTAATTTTAATTACAGTCACTGAAAGATAAGATAATGAACTTCTGAAATTTTGTGTTGATCCTCTCTTTGACTTTCTGGTAGAAGGCTGTGTTCCACTGAAAGCAATTTAAAAGAATCCTACCGTGACTTTTGGGTTAACAGCACCTTCTGATTCTCAAAACTATTGATGCCTAGAGGAAATATGTTTTGGAAAGGATGTTAAGTGCATCCTTTGCCTCCTTCACCTCAAGAAAAGCTTACTGGTTTTCTTTAATTTGTTTAGAAAGCACAAACACAACTGCTTCTGTATCCAGGAGGTGGTGAGTGGGCTGCGGCAGCCTGTTGGTGCCCTGCATAGTGGGGATGGCTCGCACCGACTCTTCATTCTGGAGAAAGAAGGTTACGTGAAGATACTTACCCCTGAAGGAGAAATTTTCAAGGAGCCTTATTTGGACATTCACAAACTTGTTCAAAGTGGAATAAAGGTTGGCTTTTTAAATTTTATTTATCTTTGCTCTGGCTATGTTAATTTTATTTTAGTGTTATCATTCTCACCGGAGGTACTTGTAATAAAAAGAAAGAATATTTAAGGAGAAAATAAGACAACAGAAGGGAACAATAATTATGGCAACTGAATTGGGACAGTGACATTAAATTTTTAATGTTATTTGGTGACTATTAAGCAGTGCAATGAGATTGATATCTTGACATGCTTTCCCTATGTAATTTACACACTTAAACTAAGTCTTGGTTTTATAAAGTACCTGTTTAAATGTTGTTTGACAGGCATAATATGTAGAATTGTGTATCAGCATTTGCTAGTAGAAACAAAGAGGTCTTTTGGTTATTTTGGCAATAGCAAACCATTCTTTTCCTGCGTCTGTTTTTGAGTCTGTATCATAAAAAAATGCTCCTTATACTGTGCCTTCCTTGTACAATGTTTTTACAGGTAAGTCAAATGTTTTAATCTGTAAGTAGCCATCTTTATATTACATAAATCCATATTGCCTTCTTTCTCATTTCTCCGATTGAATCCTAATGTTAAATAATCTAGTGGCATATAAATAAAATTATTGTCAAGTTTGTTTTACAAGAGTGTAACATGCTATAATATTGGCAGTACTAAGCTATAAAGGAAATTGTGGCATTTTAAAATCGAGGCACATTCAACAGTTCATGACTAAGTTAGATTGAAACAAAGTAACAGTATGATTTGGGAAGAACTGGTTGTCTTTTTCATGTTTTACCTGGGGAAAGAAATTAAGGGAGGATTTATACTCTTCTATTCATATAGAAATAAACTCCTCCTTGCTTTGTTGAGCTCTTTTCAAAGGCAAGAACATCAAAACCAAAAGAAACAGAAAAAATATAGGAATATCCCTTATACCAATTTGTTATTTACCATTTAAATAATTGGAGCGATTCCGTTAGAATACAGGGATTGCCACATTGCTGACACCACCCCGTTTCAAGTGTGTGTTGTCAGTGTCACCAGGACATCCTGCATGAAAGAAGTGCCTTATGGTACTTTTGATCCTTTAAAGAAAAGCACTTCAGCAGCAACACACAGATCATTTGGAAAATCTGTTTAACTCAGTAGTTTCAACTTTCTTCCAATAAAAGTTTTCATTAAAATTCACAGTAAATTATCAAAAGTCTTTTAAAATGAAGCATTTGTGTTTTGCACATAAGACTTCAATAAATACTTTTTGAAATGTGTTCTGATAATTCACTGCCAGTGGTACCTAAAAGAGCCAAGAATTAAGATACAGCGGCAAATACATTACTCACTAGCAGTTTAGTTTTCTTACTATGGAAGTTTAACATACTCTCTATGAAAGAAAAAATTGGGGAATACATTTTAAAAATCATCATCTATAATCTCATCACTTAAAGAATTACTACTTACGTTTTGATATACTTCCAGCTTTTATGTTAAAATTAGATGAACTTATCCTGACTGCAAAGGTAATACAGGTTGATATTAATAAATGTGGAAACACACAAAAACATGCTTCCTTGCAGCTTTTTTCCAAAGAAGCTTTAAAATAAAATTGAAATCAAACCATACATACATCTTTTTAACCTTCTTTTTTTTGACAACAATATATCATGAGTATGTTACCAAATTTGAAAACTTTTCTCAAAAACCTAGTTTTTATCTCCTCTGGGTATTCCACTTCCTAATTATGAAGCATTTAGAGTGACTCCCGTATTTCCATTTTATTGTAAATAATGTGCTTTATCATTCTTATATGTATTATTACCCTGCTCATGAATGACTTCCTTAATGTCCATTCATAGAGCATTACTGAGATGAGGGACATAAATCATAATACTCCTCGTCAGTGGCTTTAGAATATAATTTCAAGTATTTGAAAGAATGACATCTAGGGGCACCTGTTGGTTAAGTATCTGACTTTGGCTTAGGTCATGATTTCATAGTTCATGAGTTCAAGCCCCACATCGGGCTCCATGTTGTCAGTGCAAGACCCACTTCAGATCCTTTGTCTCCCTCTCTCTCTGCCCCTCCCCCACTCAATATGTGTTTTCTGTCTCTCTCAAAAATAAACATTTTTAAAAAAAAATAACATATAGCTTTTAATCGTTATTTGAATACAAATGTTGGTATTAAAAAGATAATGTATGGTAAAATGCAGGTGTAAGAAATGGGCTCAATTTTGTTGTAAGAAGTAAAGAACCGATATTCTCCTTTCTACTTGAACTGCCTAAAAGAATGACTGCCTCTTAATTAGGGTTCCTTCAGAGCGCCTCTGTTTCAGTTTGTGCCCTCTCATTGGGGTAATGAATGAAAGTTTATCTTCTCCGACGTTGAGACATTTTATCATGAAACAAAATTGTATGAGCCAGGTTTTGACAGTGCTGTGAGCCTGTACTGTCTGTGTTCTGCGGGCCTCTGGAAATTCTGCAGAAGTTCTTGAGTCTTCTTTCTTGGATAGTTCCAGGGCTTTTAGGGCTTAAATACGAACTTCAAGATCCATTATTCTACATTTGTAGAATACACAATACGACATGTTTTAAAGTGCAATATTTGAATTTCTTTGGAGTTTGGCACTAGTGATGTCAGCGATAGGAATCTATCACTTGGATATTTGAGTGTGTACTGTGTAGCCAGTAACAAGACCACAGCCTTGTGTACCTCAGGTGGGTGACACTACATCTCTCCTTTTTTTTTTTTTTTTTTAATTATCTTTTGTTTATTTTTGAGAGAGAGAGAGAGGGTGTATATGTGTATGAGCAGGGGAGGGTCAGAGAGAGAGAAGGAGACACAGAATTCGAACACAGGCTCCAGGCTCTGAGCTAGCTGTCAGCACAGAGCCCGACGCGGGGCTCGAACCCGCCAACCTTGACATCATGACCCGAGCCGAAGTCGGACACTTAACCGACTGAGCCACCCAGGCGCCCCTACATTTCTCCTTTATCTTAGGCTTCATGAAACTTCCATCACAAGTCATGAGTTGGAAGTATTAGAAGAGGCTGTTGCTGGTATGATAGGGCAGATGCCAACACATTCATGAATTGGTCACACACTGGTTTTTGTGATATGCCCCTCAGAGTCTTCTGAAGTAAGAACATTTTCAAACTATTTCACAGTAGTTTTTTCAGGCTTCTTGATATATGAATGGTTAGTGTGTTCGTGGCAGTATTCTGAGTTTGTCAACAATCATTTTATATAGATAACATAAATAGAATGTTCATAAATTACTATGTATATCATTTCTCTGTTCTTTCAGTTTTAAAATTCTAAGAGAGGCCATAAAGCTTTATTAACGGACAAAGGTATTGATTGTAATACTCAGATCGCAGAAATTAATAACGTATACCAACCCCAAACTTCCTATGTTTGAAATGAAAACAAGACAAACCACAGTGAAGATCCCCCCATGGTGGTAATTGAGGGGATTTATTTACACCCCAGTTTGAGTATATTAAATCAAACATAAACAGGAATTTCTGATTATAAGAGTTTCTAAAAACTAGGGCTTGCTAGAGGGGAATCTGGAATTCCTTTCCTGCTAATGGTCAGTTAAGAATAGACACATCTCTATCACCTGGTAAAGGACTCACCTGTTTTGTGGCAAGGAACTGCACTTGGTTGATTTCCTCAAACCTTTTGCTAGCTCTGATTCTTTTTTTTTTTTTTTTAATTTTTTAATGCTTATTTATTTTTGAGAGAGAGAGACAGACTGAGCAGGGAAGGGGCAGAGAAAGAGAGAGACACAGAAACACAGAATCTGAAGCAGGCTCCAGGCTCTGAGCTGTCAGCACAGAGCCTGATGTGGGGCTTGAAGTCACAGAGTGCAAGACCATGACCTGAGCCGAAGTTGGACGCTCAACTGACTGAGCCACCCAGGCACCCCACCAGCTCTGATTCTACTTCACAGAAGTGTCATCAACATAGACAGTCATCTAGGGAACTTAGCCAACTTTTCCCTAAATGGTCTTGTCTGAAGCTAAAAATACGGTATCTTATTTTTAAAAACCCATATTGTGCTGCATATATTGCAGGAGATTTCAGTATGCATAATTGTCTATGTCTCACCAAACCAAAGTTAAATGCAAAAATGCAAAACACAAGCTAACAACATGACTTATTTTTGCTATAGGAAGTAAATTGTGGAGTTGGATTAATGGAATAAGTTCTGTGCCATATGAATTGAAACTATCATTTCATTTGGAAAAAGATGATTCTATTCACAACAGCTCAAATCCTAGATGTTTTGTGAAGTTGCCAAGTAAAGAGTGAGTCAGAAAAATGTTTAAAACTTTTTTAATGTTTATTTATTTTTGAGAGAGAGAAAGAGACAGACGGAGTATGAGCAGGGGTGGGGCAGAGAGAGAGGGAGACACAGAATCCAAAGCAGGCTCAAGATTCTGAGCTGTCAACACAGAGACCGATGTGGGGCTCGAACTCACAGACTGAAAGACCATGACCTGAGCTGAAGTTGGACACTTAACTGACTGAGCCACCTAGGGGCCCCAGAAAAATGTTTTAAAAGTATGTAGTGATTTGATTGCGTTTTGGTTATAGTGCACTATAGAAGCTAACCACTAACACTTACACTGAAGAATGACCCAAGTGTTCAGCTGGTGAGCAGTCTTTAAAATCATCATTTGTGGATGTGTATATGTGTGTACATGCATTGGTTGTTGTTGTTTTTATTCTCAAGGAAGAAGTTTAAAAAATTATACCCTCTATCTCCCTGGGTAAAAATTTCTTTAAGATACTGGTAGTGTGAGGGGTGGCTGGGTGGCTCAGTCAGCTCCTGGGGTCATGACCTCATCATTCGTGGGTTCAAGCCCCACATTGGGCTCTGTACTGACAGCTCAGAGCCTGAAGCCTGCTTTGGTTTCTCTGTCTCCTTCTCTCTTTGCCCCTCCCCAACTTGTGCTCTGTCTCTATCTCTCTCTCTCTCAAAAATAAATAAACATTAAAAAAATATATACTGCTAGTGTGAAATCT